CTCTATATTTCTTTTATAAAAAAGATAAATGAATGGGCGCCTGGGTGGCTCAGTTGGTTAAGCGACTGCCTTCGGCTCAGGTCGTGATCCTGGAGTCCCGGGATCGAGTCCCGCATCAGGCTCCCTGCTCAGCGGGGGGTCTGCTTCTCCCTCTGACCCTCTTCCCTCTCGTGCTCTCTGTCTCTCATTCTCTCTCTCTCAAATAAATAAATCTTTAAAAAAAAAAAAAAGATAAATGAAGTTTTATTTAAGCCATTACGTAAACTATTTTATCATATTTAATCAAACTTGATTCTAAGAAATATGTAGTCTCTTTAAATTTTCTGTAGTTAATTTTAGTAATTTATAATTTTACAGAAAATCATACGTTAGCATGGCCAACTGGCACAAGCAAATGATAAAGTAGAACAACAGAAAATTTAAATAGCTGAGCTTCAAAGAAAGAACAGGAAATTTCCCAGGTGCCAGAAATGAGGAGGGAAGATGCAGGTACTATGCACGGTTGTGAAATGGTGCTAAAGAAACCTTCAGAGATACTGTACTTGATACAGGCCACCAGTAAGGCAGTGTGTTGAGCCAACTCTTTCATTTTTTTTTTTTTTTAAGATTTGTTTATTTATTTGAGAGAGAGAGCATGAGCGGTGGGGAGCAGAAGAGAGAGAGGGAGAAGCAGGTTCCCCGCCAAGCAGGGAGCCCGATGCGGGACTCGATCCCAGGACCCTGGGATCATGACCTGAGCCGAAGGCAGACGCTTAACTGACGGAGTTACCCAGGCGACCCTACCTATTTCTGTATAACTCATACTTCAAAACTCCGTGGCTTGAAACCACATTTATTATCTTTTACAATTTCTGTAATTCAGGAGCTCAGGAATACGATAAGTGGGTAATTCTAGCTCAGGGTCTTCCTTGAGGTTCCAGTTCAAGGCTCAACCAAGGCTGCTGTCATCCTGAACTGGGGCTGGAGGGCTTCCTTCCAACAGGGCTCATTGGCATGGCTGGCCGGCAGGAGGCCTCAGTTCTCCCAGGGCCCATCCACCCAGCTCACTGAGTGTGATGGCATGGAGGCTCACTTCCCTCCCGGGAACGACCTGAGAGGCAGCTGGACACCCTGCTCTTCAGTGATCTAGACTCAGGTGTTACAGAGCACCCCCCGCCCCCCCAGTCTAGCTGTGAGAAGCCAGTGGCTGAACTCTGCTTACACACAGCATCAGTTTCCTGGTTCTACATGTGAGGAGCTTGCAAGTTACCAGTCTGTCCTGAACACACTGAGAAACCAGTGACTCTTTTGGATGCAGGAGAGAGGGGAGGACTCGACGAACTGCAGGCCCATGACTGGGCAGTCAGATGAATCCAGGGAGGGAAGGTGTAGGAAGCAGAAACTCAAGAGTAGTAACTGCGTGCCACCAAGTGAGGGTAGGAAAGCCAGAATACAAATGGAGGAATGGCTGGAGGCTCAGTGTGGGCAACCCTGAGAGATGAAAACTCCAGGGAGCTCCAGTCACAGGGAGGCCCCCACAATACTGTGTGTTCTACCTCCGGGAGCTTGACCAGATTTCCACAGGAAATAGTAGAGAAAAATTCCCTTGTGCTTCCAGCCGGAGGAGAGGAAAGGGGACCATTTTTAGATATGTCAGAGCATTCTGTTCTTTTTAATAAGGCCTGCCTTCAGGAGAGACTAGCTATCCTGAGCCTCATCTGCTAGGGTGCTCTCAGATCCTCACTGACCTGGGGGAAGAGAAATCCCCAATCCAGCCAGCTCTAGCCTTTCCTGTGGAAGAAGAGAATCACCAGTTCCAGCCACCACGTTCCATCGAAGACAAGAGGGCACTGGGGAACACTTGCAAAGTTCAGTCCAGACACAAAGGCTCACTGAGAGCAAAATTCAACTGCGTAAATTTTAAAGATCTTACTGGCTTCATTCAGCAATTCGTGAATTGGGCAGCACCCCATCTATCAGATGGAGAGAAGCTGTACAAACTGAAAGACTTAAAGGCAGAAGGGTCTGGGAACAAGGAAGATACTCTGGGCAGAAAAAGCAGGTTGGTCAGTGCACGGTCACTTTCCTGTAGGGGCAACAGGCACTACCAGGCACGTTCCCTAACTAGTGCTGACCAGCTGATTCCTGATCGACCGGTTCATCTATGATTCCAGTTCCAGGAGAGCTGAGATGGTATGTAAGTTACATCTCAGTTTGACGATGTGAGGCTTAGCGTAAGTGATTGCATGTGGGGCCTGCTGTCTTACAGTCTGTTTTTTTAAAAAAGATTTTATTTATTTATTTGAGAGAGCAAGCACAAGCAGGAGGAGCAGCAGGTAGAGAAGCAGACTCCCCGCTGAGCAGGGAGACCAACATGGGGCTCGATCCCAGGACCTTGAGATCATGACCTGAGCCGAAGGCAGGTGCTTAACCGACTGAGCCACTCAGGCGCCCCTGTCTTGTTTTTTTTTTTTTTTTTTAAAGATTTTATTTATTTATTTGAGACAGAGAGAATGAGAAACAGAGCATGAGAGGGAGGAGGGTCAGAGGGAGAAGCAGACTCCCCGCCGAGCCGGGAGCCCGACGCGGGACTCGATCCCGGGACTCCAGGATCATGACCTGAGCCGAAGGCAGTCGCTTAACCAACTGAGCCACCCAGGCGCCCTGTCTTGTTTTTAATAATAGAATCATTTGGGGGCACCTGGGTGGCTCAGTTGGTTAAGTGCCCAACTTTTGATTTGGCTCAGGTCATGATCTCAGGGTTGTGGGACTGAGCCCCAACTCAGGCTCTGTGCTGGGTATAGAGTCTGCTTGGGGTTCTCTCTCTGCGCCCCCCAACTCTCCCCTACCCTGCTTATGCATGCATGCTCTAAGACAAATACATACATACATAAATAAATAATAACAGAATGCTTCCCACACCTTGCCACCACATTGCTAAAGGCCATTTTAAAGCACTTGCTTCTACTTAGTACATCTTGTACGGCTTTCAAGAAAAAAATGACAAGACATACCAAAAGGCAAAAAACACAATCTGAAAAGACAGCACAAGCATCAGAACAACACATGGCCGGAATGTTGAAATTATCAGAGCATGAATTTGAAATAACTACGGAAAATATGCTAAGGGCTCTAACAGATAAAGCAGATAGTGTCCAAGAACAGGTGCCTTGGCGATGTGAGCAACAGATGGAAATCTTAGGAAAGAACCAAAAAAGACGTGCTAGGCATGAAAAGCACTCTAACAAAAATGAAGAGTGCCTCTGATGGGCTTTTTAGAAAACTGGACACAGATGACGAAGGAATCTCTGAACCAGAGGATAAATTCAGTTCACACTCAAGGAGAATGGAATTAGACTCTGCATTTAGAAGGCAGGAGTGTAAGGGAATCTGTGGATATATGTCAAAACCACAACAAACAGGGGCACCTGGGGGGCTCAGTTGGTAAAGCCTCCGCCTTCAGCTCAGGGCTCAGGTCATGATCCTGGGGTCCTGGGATCGAGCCCCGCATCAGGCTCCCTACTCCATGGGGGTTCTTCTTCTCCTTCTCCCTCTGCCCCTCCCCCTCCCCTCTTCCACCCCTCCCTTCCTCCTCCCCTATCCCCCGTTCTCTTTCTCTCTCAAATAAATAAATAAAATCTTTAAAAAAGGAACAACCCCATAGTGACGCTTCCATACCCTAGAACAAGGGTACTGCTGCAGATAAAAAAAATAATCCGTCTTGAGAATGTACAATGGCAGAAAATAATGGACCACAGGAATAAGCATTTACCCTGGAAAAAGCCTGTAGAAATGAGCAGTGGAGTTGGCTCCCTAAGAGCTTCAGATATATAATGATCTAAAGGAAATGGTAAGCGGTATTTAGAACATTTAAGTATTTTTTAGACACCTAGAAGCCATAAATGGAAGGACATGATATAAAATGAGAAGAGCAGACTGATTTGAAAAAGAATCAAATAAAACATTAGGAAATGGAATATACAGGCATTGAGATGAAAATCTATGTTAAATAAACAACATATTAAATATAGGTAATGGAGAATAAGTAAACTCTAAGACTGATCTGAAGACATATATCACAGAGAGATGAAGATCAGCAAAACAGGGCGCCTGGGTGGCTCAGTTGGTTGGGCGACTGCCTTCGGCTCAGGTCATGATCCTGGAGTCCTGGGATCGAGTCCCGCATCGGGCTCCCTGCTCGGCGGGGAGTCTGCTTCTCCCTCCGACCCTCCTCCCTCTCACGCTCTCTGTCTCTCATTCTCTCTCTCTCAAATAAATAAAGAAAATCTTAAAAAAAAAAAAAAAAGATCAGCAAAACACACTGGGAGTAAGAGACCTGGCCAACAGGGTGAGAAAGCCCAATCCACACAAGTGACAGGACAGCCAAGAGAACTTTGAGGGAGAGGTTGACTGAGAATTGCAGGAATTGATGGATGACCTAAATCTCAAGTTGGAAGAAACACTTCAAAGTGGTGAAAGAAAAGAACAGTCAGCCTTCTAAGCAGACTGAGTTCATGAGGGCTCTGTCACTGCAAATACATGGAAACCAATATTCAAGGGGGAGAGTGGAACGAAAACATGTTCACACAAAGCCTAACGGAACTTGCCAATGCCAAACCACCAAAAAGCGCGCTCCCAGTGACAACAAAAACGAATCTTCAAGAAAGCCTCAGTGAGTAAAACCAATGTGTTAAAACACATACGTGAAAATCTAATTAGTCGTTGATTATAAAAACCCACTAATAAAATAATTATAATGACAAGGTCAACTTGAGGTCAAGTGTAACTAAAATACTAATCAACAGTTGGAGCAGGCTCCTGGGAGGCATTCAGGTTTTGTGCAATATCATGCAGAAGGGCACGCACAGAGATTAGTTTCATAATCTCACAAGTCAGGTGGGCATATTGAAATTTTATGTGTCACCAGTAAAAAGAAAGACTAAAAATGTATAATTTTCAAACATGTAAATGGGGGAAAGAGAAGAAAATATAAACTAACCAATATAAAACAGGAACTGAGAAAAAAATTAAAGAAAGATCATGGAAAATAGAAAAGACAAAGTTGGGTGGTAGCAATAAACTGATAATCATAATAAACACAACTGGATTAAATTGATGAGTTAAAAAACAAGACTGAACATAGGAAATTTTATAAAGAGTTATTAGAATCAATTAAAAATTATAGTTCTTAGGAATGCAAATATATGCAGTAAAAGTATATAAATAGGAAAGCAAGAAATTATAAAATCAGGATTCAAGATGATGTCCTTTAATTGGGAAATTCGGGTGGCAAAGATGAGGGGTGCCGAGTGATTGGCCATACAGGTGTTTTTCAAGATCTTTTGTTTTGTTTGTGTTTAATGACACATTAATGAGTGCTAGGTACTAAATTAACTACCTAAGTTACCAAACGAATAATCAAAATCATGGCATTCATGGACAAATGATGACAGTGTGTCATGAATCATACCAAGGATTGTAATTAATCCAATTCTGTACATAGGATATCCAAAGGAAATCATTTTTTAAAAGTAAAGGATGGGAAAGAGATACTAGGCTAATATTCTCTAAAAGAAATCATTCATGATAAAGAATTCTTGCAAATGAGGAGGGAATATTCTTAATGTTATGAGAATAATTATCAGAAACACACAGAAAATGTGATTTTTTGCCAAATCATTAGATACATCCATTCAAAATTAGGAATAAGATAAGGATGACTATTACAGGGTTATATAAAGATGCAGGTATGTTTAGTTCTCAGGCAGAGCTGAAAAAACAGATGGAGACCTGTTGAGAGCAGCCACTGGAAGCAGTGGGGTCGTGTGATGGACTATTTGTGTGTCCCCCCCCTTACATGCATGTGTTAAAATTAACCCCACAATGTGATGGTATTTGGAGATGGGGCCTTTGGGAGGTAATCAGGGTCAGGTCAGGTCATGACAGTGGGATTAGCGCCCTTTTAAGAAGCTTGCTGTCTGTCTGTCTGCCTCTGTCTCTGACCCTCGGTTTGTCTCTCTGTCCGTCTCTCTCCCTCCCTCCCCCAGGCACACAAAAGACAGGTCATGTGAGCACAAAGGAAGGTGCCGTCACCTAAGCCCGAGCTGGTGCCCGGATGCCGGCCTCCCCGTCTCCAGAACTGTGGGAGATACACGGCTGCCGTGTGAGCCGCCCGCCTGCCCTGTGCCAGCCCGCCGGGCCCGGGGCGATGAGCAGGGGGGGAAAGCCACTGGGAGAGGAGAACTCCTATACCAATTTAATGGAGAGACTGTTGCAGAGCACATTTACGTTACACGTGAACTAAATGCTCCCAGTTCAGGGAAAACAGGGAATTCCACTCAGGACACGTCTTCACTTTTTAATGTTAACTTACTTTTTTCTCTCTGCTCCCCTGATCCAAATATTAATTTATTTCTAAACCCCACATGACAGCAGTCTGTAATATACTTTCTTAAAAAATTGAGGTAAAAGAAAAAGTCCCCCAAACACTTTAACTTAGGAGGTCTCTCACTGCTGTCCAACCCTCCTTTTGCCTTGCTATAGATCATATTCAAATTTAGTAATAATGTCCCCTTCTCTTCATGTGATGTGTATTTTAGAGATCACAGTGTCCTTTCCTCTCATTGCTATCTGCTGCTCCTCAGAACAACTGTGAGAAGTGGGCAGGCAAGCGCAGGAACAGGCCTGAGAGGCTGAGCTCAGTGAAAGCTGCCCGTGGTCCTGTGCCCTGCCCTGCACCCAGACAGTGCTCCCTTCCCCTGGCCACCATGAGCAGGCCACCCTCAATCCATGAGTGCTGAGTGCGGACACACAAGGCTAGCCCCTTGCCTCCAAGGTGAGTTTTGTTCCAGACACCCTTCCCCCAAATTAGGCTACAGCTAGACTGAGACCACATCTTGCTCAGCCCTCTCCTCCACGTCCTGCTTCCCCTGCTGCCCTGCGGTTGCCCCTCTGCAGTAAATCCCCTGGACCTGAATCCCTGCCCGGGCTCTGCTTCTCGGAAATCCACTCCAGGTGACTTACCAAAGGCCCCACCCTGCAGACCTCACTGAGCAGGGACTCCATCCCTGGCGACCTGGCTCCTGGTCCTTAATGTCTCCACTGTACCACACAATTTGGAGACACAACAAGGGATGAAGACAGGCAACTTTCAGAGTTGAACTTTTGAATCTCAACTCACTCAAGGCAGGGGACCCCTAATGTAATCAGCAACAGCAAATCCTCAGACCATTTCTGTATTTCATGCCCAACATTTCTATCAGATGATCCCAGGGCCTATCTTTAAGCGTACTATGATGCAGAAATTCATCTTGGGCTTCTCGCAGCAGGTAGAACTTTCCCCCACAGCGAGGGAAATGGATGCCCTCCCTCAAGATGGCGTTGTGTGGAATTTGTAGGTAATGCTGTGCATTCGGTAATGTAGCTCTGTGACGGGAAACTGTTCATAAAACCTTTGTTCATAAGACTTCCTGGGCCACCCACTCAGTAGAGAAATGGGAAAAAGGAGAGGGAGACTTGGATCAAGAAGGGGCTCAATCCGTTGAGCAGCTGCTTTCAGCTCAGGTCAAATAAATAAAATTTTTAAAAATAAATAAATAAAAATATAAGCACTTTATGTGGCTGGTGACCCAACTCCGCAGGGTGGCCTTGGACTCGGGACACAGACGGCCTGCAAAGCTGCGGGCGTGACGGACGAGCACAAAGGGACTGTTAGGTGACCGAGCTCCGCAGACACAGCCTGACGATCCCAGTGAAGCAGGACAGCACCATAAACACCTGGGGAGTGAAGCCCAAAGCCGGGGCTTTAACTAAAAACACGGTGGGACATGAAGAGCATATGAAAACTCTATCATTTCTATTAGCTTAAATTATTCCAAAACAAAAGTCCAGGTTTTAAGCCCCGACGCCTCACGGCTTCCTCGTCTGTAAGATGGACATGATGGCGCCCTTTCCCTGCCAGCTGTGCTTCGGAAACGGAAGCAGTCTGCAAACAGCGCCGGTCGGGCACCGGGGACGCAGCGAGGGGGAAGGGGTTGGCCCCGTAGGTCCTCGTCCCAGGGACGCCACAGACCCTTTACCGTGAACCATCAGCAGACCTCTGTGTGCTCTCGAGGAACTCAGCAGATACAGCCCTTCAGGCTTGTGGCCACGGCAGCGCCACAGGTTACGTGATGGGAAAGTGGTGCAGCCGTCCCCAAGTCAGCACCCACGAGGGCTGGGGCGCGGCACCCCGGGGAGGGCTGAAGGGACCAAAGGGAGAGCAGCAGCTTCAAACACTCGCACCTTCCTCTTCAGATGTGCCCAGGCCACAGGTCAGTACTTGATCCAAAACGCACCTAGTGGGACGTGAAGAAAGACGTTTTCTAGCCTTAGCCTCCCCCGGGACTTGGCCAGTGGTCCGGAAACCCGCCGCCGTGTGGGTCTTCTGATGGCGGATGAGGCTGCCGTGGCGGCTGGAGCTCTTCCCACACTTGGTGCATGTGCGGCCGCTCCCCCGTGTGGCCCCTCGGGTGCTCGACGAGGAACGGACGCCGACTGTAGCTCTTCCCACGCTGGCCGCACCGGTGGGGCCTCTCTCCCCTGTGGGTTCTCTGATGCTGGATCAGACCCGCACTCTGACTGAAGGCCTTCCCGCACTCCGCACAGCGGGACCGTTTCTGCAGGTTGTGGATGCCTCAGTGATTGAAAAGACCAGAGCTCCGACTAAAGGTCTTCCCACACTCACTACACTCATAGGGTCTCTCCCCAGTGTGGATTCTGTGATGGCGAACAAGGCCTGAGCTCTGGGCAAAGCTCTTCTCACACGCATCACACTTGTGCCGTCCCTCCCCTCGGGGGCTGCCCCAGCGCCCCGCTGCCCAACCCTCAGGGTCACCAAGCTCTCCATGTCGGGGATCCTGGGGGGATTCCCCCCAGGTCTGTCCATAAAATATCTCCCCGTGGGACTCCACTATCTTAGGACAGTCTTTCCTCAGCACCAGCTCTCTGTCCTCAGCCTTGGTCATTCCATCTGAAACAGAAAAGACCAGGCACATGTCACTTGTTCCCTGAGTCTACGGGAGGGTCACTGTGCACAAAAGGACAGGGTGCTTCTAACCTGATGTGACCCCACATCACAGAGCAGCAAGAAGGTTAGAAACAGCAGGGTCAGTGTGGTAACACCTTCCTCCAGGTAACAAGGAAGTCTGGCCTCTTAGGCAAAATGCAGCTTAGTCCAACCTTACGTGGCCTGGGCCTGGAAAGAATTCCTTCTACATCTTCATGGGGAGGGGTGGGTCACGATCAGGGTGGCTGCTCTTAGGTCTCCCTTAGAACTCCCTCACCATGGGGCGCCTTGGGGCTTAGGTCATGTTCTCGGGGTCCTGGGATTGAGCCCCACATTGGGCCCCGCACTCAGCATGGAGTCTGCTTGAGATTCTCTCTGTCCCTCTGCCCCTAGCCCCATTCGCACACACACTCTCTAAAAAACAAGTAAATAAATCTTAAAAAAAAAAAAAAGTCCCTCCCCCTTTTGAGGTGGGGAGCCTCACAGTGACCAAGGGAATTCACCCCATGGACTCATTCATTCCTTTATGGGACAAGTGTTCAATCCTGCCATTCCAGGGGTCTCAGGAGTACTCGACAACTGTGAAATCAGCACCACCCCAGGTGTGTTCCCCGCCCAGGGCCTTTACAGGCTCCGCTCAGATGACAGCAAGTCTCCCTCCCTCATTCCTTCAAGTTTTCCCTCAGCTCCTACTTCCTTACTTCTACTTACTACTGCAAGCAGCTCACCACCCACCGCACTCACAATCTCCCTCCCCTATTCCTGTTCTGTCCCGTTCCACAACTTACCACCTCTAACACCCTGCATCACCTCCCTGTTTGTCCCCCTCCTTGCCACAATCTAATCTCCATGACAGCGGGATCTTTCTGTTTTATTCCTTGAATCACGGATGGCACAAGGCAGTTTTCAATAAATATTTGTTGAATGAATAAAAGAAAGCATTGAAACCAATCCACTACTATGGCCTCAAATGACAGCCCAGGGACGGGCACCTGAGGCAAACACTCCCGACAGAACCGGCCCATACTGGATAGTTGTCCAACCAACCCCATCAGACTTGGAGCAGTTGAAGGGAAGAATGGAGACAAACAGACCCAAACTGTCTAAACACTAGGGAGCAGCCCTGTGGTGTCCTCAGGATGTCTTGGGCTCTGCGGATAGGACTGTTCGGGGAAGCTGTCAAGAAAACATGACTGCCAAGTGACCCATGAGCTGGACCCTGACCACTGGAAGCTCCTCACCCCCTCCTCTGTCCCTGGAATGTGAGTTCCACTTGCCTGCCCCTCTCCGGGGAGCCACCCCAAGGCCAGGGACAGTGACGGGGGGACAACACCATCTGGACAGTACACGTGACTGAAGCTGGTAAGGCCTCTGTATAAACTTTCACGATTTGGCAGGTGGGTTGGAGATCTACTCACGTTGCTGCCACCCAGGAAGAGCCTCCCATGTAAGCCTCCTTTGCTTATTAAAACCACCACCTACCCGCTGTCTTCAGTCTCTCCCTGCCCCCCACACGAGGGGGCTGGTTTCAGATCACACCTGGGAAGCTCCCAAGGAGCCTGCGCACCAACAGATCTCCTCCTTGCAACCAGAGAGCCCAGAGAGATCAGCCTCCAGCCCTCCTCTTTTTACCGAAACATCCAGCTCTTTCTCCCACATCTGATTACTGTCCCACACGCACCTGAACAGGAGCCTCTGCGGACTCCTCTCTTGTTAGACCATGTTCTCCAGCTCCTTTTAGCTGGGGGATGACAACAGGTTTGGAAAACAGAAATGCGTCTTCAGAGAAGAAACAGGCCACAAGTGGGATCAGCATTGCCCTTCTGCCCAAACTTCACACTTACATTTGAAATGCACAAGAGAACTGGGTAAATATAAAAACAAAGCCGTTTCTCACCTTCTAATGACGACCATTTATACGGCCGCCCGTGACTCACAAGCACCGTCACCTATGGTATCAAACTATGTACCGCAAAACCCCCTGATGTTATCAGCCCACCTCTTGAAAGAGGTGAACAGCAAATAAAAGGTAGACAGACTCTGTACGTATGTAGAGAAAGTCTGGAAAATACACAGCAATTTGACAAGAGTGGCTACTCCCGGGGAATAAAATTTGGAGAACTTTCATGTTTTACTACATAAACTTCTATATTATTTGGATTTTTTTTTTACCATCAGCAGTTCTGAAAGAAACTCAAACTCAGTGATACAAAGTAACCTTAAATGCTGCTTAATTAAAAAAGAAAAATTGAAGGGGCGCCTGGGTGGCTCAGTCGTTAAGCGTCTGCCTTCGGCTCAGGTCATGATCCCGGGGTCCTGGGATCGAGCCCCGCTTCGGGCTCCCTGCTCGGCGGGAGGCGTGCTTCTCTCTCTCCCACTCCCCCTGCTTGTGTTCCCTCTCTCGCTGTGTCTGTCAAATAAATAAAATCTTTAAAAAAAAAAATTGAAGAGCTGGAACTTGGATTTAGTCCTTCTAACCTCAAACACTTACTATGTTGCTTTGCAAAACTGGCTTTTCCTGAAGACACATACCTGCAGTGATAGTCCCATTAAGAGAACTCTGATTTCTAGACGCCCTCAGGATACTCTCCTGCGGCCACAGGAAATGCTTAATGGATGACTGGATGGAAGGAGGGAGCGATGGACAGACAGGAGGAAGGACTGGCTCAGATGTGCTTCCTGAAAGAAGGGGTTCCCAGTAGGGTTCTAGATGCAGTTTGGAAGGCAGAAGAAAGGAAAAGATGGCTGGAAAATAAAAAGTTCAAGTTCACAGGAAGACGAGGAAGAAACGAACAGATTGCAAAGATGTTCATGAAGGAGGAAAATGAAACCAAAGGACTTTTTTTAAGACATATTTATTTTATATATATAGAGAGAGTGCACGAGTGTGGGGAGGGGCAGAGAGAGAGAGACAGAAAATCTCCAGCAGACTCCCCGCTGAGTATGAAGCCCCGAGATCATGACCTGAGCGGAACTCAAGAATTGGACGCTTAATGGACTGAGACACCCGGGGGCCCAGAAACCAAAGGACTTTTAATCTGATGAGGTCACAGAAGCTAGAGGAAGGTCTGTAGAGCAACAGAAGTCACTCAAAAATATCTTTTTAATTTAAGTCAAGAGCTGTGTTCCAAGTGGCAGAAATTCAGGATAACCGTATGATTGCTAGGGCAGACGGAATAAACACAGGCAGGAGGCAGAGCAGCAAGGGAAGTCCGGCTTCGATCCACATGGGGCTGGTGTGAGAACACCGACTATTAGACGGCTAACCATCAGTAAGAGGTGACGAGGTCTGGTGTGAGAAATCAGACGGAAGCTGGGCCAGCTGTGGCGGGGACAGCCAGGACAGGAAGGCAGCCGGCTCGGCCCCATGTGCCCAGGACAGCACCCACCACGACGTCACCTGCCAGGAAGGGGCAGAGGCTGGTTCCACCAGACTCCCCCATCCAGTCTGCCACCTACTGAGTGCGCTCACAGATTTGCCCTGCGAACATTGGCCAGACTGGCAAAGGGGACCCTGAGGGACAGCTTGCCAAGTGCTTTCTGGTCAGCTGTTCACGTTCAGTGCTCACAACCACCTTCTGTGGTGCACACTTGCTCAACTGAATTGTGTCATCTCTCTTACGCTCAGTCACATGTTGAAGCCCTGACTGTATTTAGAAATAGGGCCTTTTAGGAAAGTAATTCAGATGAGTAAGAGTGGGGCCCTAAATCAATAGGACTGATGTCCTTATAAGGGGAGGAGACACCAGAGCTTTCTCTCTCTCCCTCCCTCCGTCTCTCTTTCCCCCACCCCAATAAGCACGTGCACAGAGAAAGGCACGTGTGAGAACAAAGCAAGAAGGTGGCCGTGGGCAAGCCAGGAAGACAGGTCTCACCAACAACCCACCCTGCAGGCACCCTGATCTTAGACATCCAGCCTCCAGAACAGTGAGAAGATAAACGTCTGTTGTGTAAGCCCCTCAGTGTGTGCTAGTTCTTTTATGAGAGCCCGAGCAGACTAAGGCAATACTATGATCAACCCCATTCTGGAGATGAGGGAACTGAGAGCAAATGGTTAAGTGACCTGCCCACGTACAAACAGCTTCCAGAGGCAAAGCCATGATCTGACCCTATCACACCGATTCTCTAAAGCTGCTCCCCACAGTGATTCCTGGAAGTCTCCCTGAGGTGCCATGTGCCAGGAGACCAGAGAGCCTCCAGGATGGGACTCGGGGTGGAGCCTGAGCGTGGGGCAAGGGGACACAGTGAGCACACTGTGCACTTGGAAACACGGAGCATTGCTGTCACCTGGCAAAGGGACTCCTGATCCCCTGGCTCCCCAGGTCTGGGCTTTTTATTTGTTTTGCTTGACAAGGGGGGCTCATATGTTCAGCACCAGAAAAATCCTGTCCCTCACCTGTCTCTCCAATAGGGTGGGGCTGCTGAGCAGTGTCACGGGTGAGCTGGGGTTCCTCAGGCCGGGACTGGAGGCTCGGTGATGTCTGTGCTCCCAGAGGCACTGTCTCTTCAGAGAGGACTTCTTGCCCCTGCGTGTGGGCTACCACTTGGAAACAAAGAGATGAGATTTGACTTCTGAAGAGAAAACTGTCTAAAGAACACTCCCCAGAAAGAAGCAGGAAGCAGGATTAGAGTTAGTCAAGGGGGTATAAAACAAAGGATTCAAGGGTCACGCATACATACTTTTTCCTGGCAAATCTCCCTTCCTACCTCATGTTGAGGTTCATCGAGCTCTCTCTCCAGATTCTCCAGCAAAATCACAGCCTCCTCCCTGCTCTCTGGACAGTGCTCCCACACCCAGGCCTGCAGATCCTCGGGCAGGATGGTCAGGAACTGCTCCAGCACCAGCAGCTCCACGATCTGCTCCTTTGGGCTCACATGTGGCTTCAACCACTGGCGGCAAAGCTCCTGGAGTCGGGTGAAGGCCTCCCTGGGTCCAGGGGTCTCCTGGTAGCGCAGCTGTCGAAAGCGCCTTCGGAAAATTTCCCTTGCCAGGGGATTACTATGTTTCAGCCTGGATTCCTGCACTTGGAGGCGACTTTCCGTCTCCATTTCCACTGTCAGAAGTTCTTCCCAAACCTCAGGAGCTTGCACATCCAGGGGTAAAACCTCCTTTGAGTCTGCATTCATCTTGTCCTTGAAGAGTTTAAAAAGCACCCTCCAGCTGGAGCTACGTTTTAGAAACACCTTTGAAGATTCCCTCCTAAGCAGTAAAAATCACTGTTTACATAGAAAAATGGCAATAACTAATGATAGGCACTGATTAAAAAACAACTGTGACAGGTCCCAAGGCTCTTCACTGAAAGTAAAGTCACTCGGGGACCAAAGGATGGGAAGAATGGGAAATATAAGGTCGTAATGTGCAAAAAGCATATACTTTCACGTCACTCAGAACTGGACTTTATTCCAGCTCTAACATTTACTAATTGTGTGATCTTCAGCCAACTTCTTATCTTCTTTCAATCTCAGTCTCTGGATGTGAAGAAATAGCGATACAAATACCTTACAGCGCTCATGGAGAAATTAGGGGCCACACAGTTCGCTCAGAACGGTTAAAAAGCTCAGACTCATTACGTAAAAGTGAAATTAGCCAAAGAAGAGACAGAAACTGTTCTTGTCTTTGATTAATGAATGAACTTTCTTCCCTGGGACTCATGCTTTCCATACCGGACCACAGTTAATGTTCACGTGACCCTCTGACGTTTGATAACAACCGCTACTTCAGGAGATAAGAAACGGATGTCAGGGGAAGTTCGGCAGGTTGCCTAGGTCAGGTTCTTGATGAGGACAGTCCTTAGAATCCACAGACACCAGGCAGTGCCTGCGACCCAGGAGGCCCGTACGTCCGCACAACGTCAGGACGTGCAGCCCCGAAGCTGAATTCCCGCGGCACAGGCGCTGTGGTGGACACGCAGGGAGTGGGCCCCCGGGCACGGGGCTTGGTGACAGGACAGGGAGCCCCGGCGCACGCATCTCCAACAGGCTCCCCGGGGTGCGCGCACGCCAGGGCTCCAGGACCCTGCAGCCGAAAGCCAGTCCGCTCACAGCCCCTTAACCCGTCTCAGGGCCAATAGCTGAGGCCTGACCTCTGTGCTTGACTTCCCCGTCCCCTGTCAGACTCCAGTCCGACCTGCGGCCGCTACTGCCGGGGGCGGCCCTCCAGCCTCGCCGTCCTCCCAGGCCCTGCCCGCGCGATGTCCCCGAGCCGGGACGACACGCCCTCCGCGGGCGGAGGCTTACCTTCCACGGCCCTCTCCCAGCCACGCCCGCCCGCCCGCCCCGGGGTCCCGGCGCCGACTCACGGGCGCGGAACGAGGCCCGGAGGCGGAGGGTCCCGGCGCGGCGTCGGCGGCGGCGCGCCAGCCGGAACAATGCGCCGCAGCGAGGAGGCCGCCCGCCGCGCGGGGGCGCTCGGGGCGGGAGTACTTCCGGGCCGCTCTAGGATCCCGCGTCTCGTCTCCCGCCTCCCGCGGCGGAGCACGTGGTTAGAATTTCGCGCACGGGGAACACGTTTAAGGGGAAGAAACGCGTGCAGCCGCGGCCGTTAACTTGAAAATGCTTATTTTTGAAAAACATTACCTATGATTTTTTAAAATTCTCAGGCAGTGCCAAAATTAATAAAGCAAAAGGTGAAATCCCATCCTATCCCTCCTTAGTCCCACTTCCCTGGGGTGGCCCAGTGGCCAGGGATGAGCTGGGGATTCGCGCGTGTAATTCCCATCTCTGTCTCACACCTAGATAGACAGGCATGAAGCTATTTGACATTTAGCTTTTTCTCCACTTATTTTAACGTTTTCATTTCACGTACCTCAGACCTCTTTATTGTTCATGTAGGTCTAACTCCTTTGGTGGCTGCATAATAGTACATCAAGCACACGTACTGCAGTTTATTTGTCCGGGCCCTAGGTATTGGTAGACTTTCCTCCTTCCTTCCCTCCTTCCTTCTGCTTTCCTTCTTTGCTCCTTTGCTCCTCTCCTTCCTTCATTTTTTCCTACAGAAGTCTCTTGGATTTTTAGCGGGAATCCAAAATCAACTAAATTAGCTTTATTGGTACAAAAGAGCATAATTAGTACTGTTAGTCATCCATCAGTTTTATCATGCCAACCAGAATGATGGTATTGCATAAATTATGTTTGTTTTGTTTTTAACAGAACCTCATTATTTTATCACAGCAGTAGGAAAGTATCTTACATGTTAATGTAAATTCTTTGATGCAGCGTTTTAACTCCAAAACCATAGCTTTGTAAATCCTGTGATTGTTTTACTCAAACTAGCCATCTAAGGGCATTAAATAAGGTCAGGTTTCATCCTTTATTTTAACTTCTTCTAAATATCCAGTAAGTGTATAATCTACCAGCATGAAGAAAATATGCTCAAAATCCTGATCACTTTCTTCAACACACCCCCAAAGCCCTCAGTACAAACCTTCCCAACAAACTATATAACGACTGTAAATTTTCAGCTTTTCTTTAACTGGAATACCATTCAAATACGTTATTCTCTTGCATTTTGGATGCCCACCTGTGACAAGTAAACCGTTTCTATTTGCATGAAACTCTCAAATGTGTCACTGATAGTTGATTAGGCTCTCTAACTGGATCATGTGTGCTCATTAAGCAGGTCAACTATAGCACTCAGGCAGCCTCCACCCTAGGATCAAGTGGATAGTGCATTGGATTTCCCTGTAGTTAAACAGCTCTGAGAAAGACTGGCTCCCACTTGTCTGTTTGGAGGGAGATTCCCCTATAGCAATAGCAGTACTTGATGATTGTCTTGGGACAGAAGGGATTACTTTTTACTTAGAATTGGGAATCTCTACTGAAAATACTTAAAACACCACTCAGCTCAGACTAGAAGAAATGCTGACTACAAGACTAACTATAAGGATTGAGTGTTACTTGAATCTGGAAACAGGTATATTGGGATATTGACTCTTCTGCAAGTTATGTCATAAGCTTAAGAAATATGAAGGAGGAGGAGGATGAAGTGGAGGTGGAGGAGGAGAAGAAAAGGAAGAAACAAAAGGAGAAGAAGGACAGAAGGAGAAGAATTAGAGAATTGTTAACAAAGAGATTGAGGGAACTAGCTCGTATGTGGATAGACCCAAGTCTAAAAATACTTATGTCCCATATGAATCTTCACTAACCCAAGATAGTTTCAGTAAGTGGGCAAGCTGATCTGCCCTATGGATGTCACCAACCAATTCTAAACCCTAAGTATGATGTAATACCCCAGTGGGAACAGCAGTCACCTGGTGGCAAGTTCATTACATTGGACCCTCTCTATGATAGAGAGAACAAAACATTGCTTCAAAGTAATAGACAATTGTTTTGAATTTCGATTGGCTTTCCATGCCTACCATGCTATCAGTATTGATTGGATGAAAGTCCCACTCACACCAGCCCTAACTTAGTTGGGCATTAAAATGAAATGTCCCCCCCCTCACCCCAATCTGTACTTTCAGCTGGGTTCCTAAAATAATCTTTCTGTCCTTTAGTGATATCTTGGGCAGATCCCATAGCTTTCTGGTCAATTTTAAGTATCAAAGATCCCATTCAGTTTATTTTTAATTTGAAAATTTATTACCTATTTTGAATAAGTTATATAGCCACAGATTCAAAATTTTACAAAAAGTTCAAAAGGGCATACGTTGAAAAATCTCACTCTGATTTTTCTCTTCTGTTGAGTTTGATAATGATATTGTAGTTCCATAGGAAAATGTCCTTATTTTTTAGATGAATACTGAAGTATTCAAGAGTGTTATGTGTAATGTCTATAATTTACCTCGAAATACTTCAGCAGAGGTAGAAACAGCAAATATGGCAAAATGAACAATTATAAATGTAGGTGAGTACATGGTGTTCATTATATATTACACATAAACCTTTGCGAGTAACTGGGTTTCTGAATTCAGATTTTCTTAACACTAACGAATTTCAATCCACTTCAAGATATGCCCCAGATGACCGGTGCGTTGGGACGCAGCACCCCCAACGGCTTCTCCTGCGCCCATACGGACGGCCACGTGCCCAGCCCCAGAGCCAGGGTCACCACGCTGTCCAATCCTGTGGCCGTCTTGGCCTCCAGCCGGACCACGCCCAGAGGTAAATGGGGCAGCTCGCAATGGGTGAGCCCGCAATGACGTGGGCAGTGACAGTCCTACCTTCACCCTCTCCCTGGCCAACGCCCCCAGCGCGCGAGCCCCCCCCCACACACACTACGGGGCTTTCTGCGCCCCAGCGTGCAGCCCTCTACATCACTGGGGACAAAGCCCATCTCAAGGGTGTGCAGCACTGGCAGCTGGTGCCCATCGAGGTGTTGGAGGCGCGGCAAGTGAAGACCGGCTTCAAAATGCTGCTGAAGGCTTGTTTCCAGGCTGTCGGCCGCAGAGTCGGGCCCCGCCTCCTTCCCCGCACTCGCTGCAGGACTGAGGGGATCCAGATCCACCAGCCGCCGCGGGTGTGGGTGGTGGTGGAGCTCCTGATCTCAGGCTCCTCCGTCCTGGTGAGCCTGGTGGACGGCTGGGACATCAGCACCCAGCTCCTGGCCCTGGCGCGGCTGTTCTCGGACCCCCTCCACCACGCTCAGGGGGGCTTCCGTCCGCTGGTAGAGGAGGAGCGGCTTCAGCCACCGCGGGGCGCGCGCGCCGGCCCCGCAGAGCAGCGGCTCCACGCCCGGGTCCTGCAGTTCCTGGACTGCGTGCTCAGGTCCCCCTGCAGTTCCCCGTGGAGTTCGAGGTCAACCCCTCCCACCTCAAGTTCCCTGGCTGCTCCCGCGCATCCCGCCGCCTCCGGACCTTCCTGCCGGACTGGGACTGGGAGCGCCCGGAGCCGGGGCTGCTAACCCCAGGATAAGGGGGAGCGCAGGGTCAGCAGGCGTGCGGGCCGGTGTGGGATTGCGTGCACGAGCCGAGCAGGAGGACGCGCGTGTGGCACCGCTCCGCACCCGATGACACGGAGGTCTGGCGGCCCTCCTGCAACGGGTCCAGCCTAAAGGTGTGGCATTTCCACACCAGGGGACGCTGGCCGGGAGGACTCCCCTGTGCCTGGGAGCGGGCCCAGCCTCCCCGCACCCCGAGGCCCCAGAGGAGGACGGGGGTACTCCCCAGAGCAGGCGCCGCGTGGTGGGGCCCTGCTAGGACAGCGGCCCCGGCCCCGCCTGACGCCACCCCACGCCCGCCCGAGGAGCCGCCGCGGCTGGAGACCGAGCTGCGCGGACCCCGGGGATGGGGGGGGGGGCGGGGGGGGGGGGAGGCCACACAGCGCCTGGAGGCCGGCCAGACGGACGTGGCGCCCCCAGCTCCCTGCTGGTGTCTAGTGTGCCCGCCGCCGCCGCTCGCTAGGTGCGCACCTGCAGGAGGCCCGTGGGCTCCACTCCGAGCCTCAGCCCGGAAGCGCCCAGAATCGCGGCCCAACCGCGGCGCCTTCCGCCGCAGCAGCACGGCTCCAGACAGCCGAGAGTGACACAGGTCCTACAGGGCGCCGCCCCGTCCAAGAAGGGGGCCTTCGTGCTGGCCAAGCCCGAGCACCCGCTGCGCCGCGGTGACCACCGTGTGGCTACGGAGTGCAAGGGTGCCAGGGACCTGGCACCGCCACCAAGGGCTCCCCAAGACCGTGGGCAAGGAGGCCTCTGTGACGTGAAGACCGCGCGTCGCGTTACAACCTCTGAGCCCAGCAGTGGGTGGACCAGATCCAGAGCGGCCTCTCAGACGCCCGAGCCCGCCCTGCTCCGGCTGCTCTGCGTCTGGTGGTTGGAGACCACTGGGGTGGCCCCCGCTCGCATGTTTACAGCCCCCACCCTCGGCAGGATGGAGGCCCGCTCCCACCATGCGGCCAGCTCTAACTTATTTCGGGGTTTTGGGTGCGCGCCGGCCGGGAGGCGGCCGGGTGTCCCCGCCGTGGGCCGGTCAGTAGGCCACCTGCGCCCAGGCCGGGGGGTGGGGGTGGGGGGGGTAGTGCAGGCCCACCGCGCAGGCCACTGGTTCCCAGAGCTAGTCTCTAAAAACAGAACAATAACAGAGATTTGCCCCGGAAGAAGACGAAGATTTACCAGTTTTAAGAGTTTTCAGAATTTCTTTAAAAAATTTAAAAAAAAAAAAGGGGGGGCGCCTGGGTGGCTCACATGGTTGGGCGTCTGCCTTCGGCTCAGGTCATGATCCCGGGGTCCTGGGATCGAGCCCCGCGGTCCTG